TTTTGGCCGTAGTTGAAGAAATGTCCCCACTCCACTCCCCTGTGGCTCTTGCTCTCACGACTGGAGGAGAAGATCGGGCAGCTGACGCGAGCCCGTGCCATCCTGGAGAAGTCTCGCCTGAAGAACCCGAAGAACCCGGCCCTGTGGTGAGTCGGGCCTGGGCACGCTCCCAGCCGTGCTCACCCTGGGCCACGGCTCATGCCGCATCTGTGTGGCGCTGCCGGCTTGGGCTCCACGCGAGGGTCCAGCCCAGCCCAGGCGCTCAGGTGGGCCTGCGGGCAGTTCGCCGTGGTCTCACCTGTGCTCTGAGAGGCGGTGTCCAGGGAGCCCTGCGCTGTGACGGGGTCAGGGAGCAGCTCTGGTGGGGGCAGCGGTGCCAACAGGCCAAGACCTGGAGGGGCGAGGAGGAGTTTTTGGGGTGCAGACGGCACGCTGCCCGCAGGAAACTGCATGCAGAGGGGCCGCGTGGGGCCGTGCGTGTCAGGGCCGGGGCACGGGGTGGGCTGCAACGGAGACGCCACAGTGCTGCGCACCAGCAGCCCCTGCGCGGCTGTGCCCCAGGGCCCACAGCACGTGGCACCACCGTCCCCCTGCTGTGTGTGGCGGTGTGTCCACGGACAGGTCATGACCTCCCTCTCGGGCCTCTGTCCCCAGGTTGGAGTCTGTGAGGCTGGAGCACCGTGCGGGGCTGAAGAACATCGCCAACACGCTGATGGCCAAGGCGCTGCAGGAGTGCCCCAGCTCCGGTGAGCGTGGCACCAGGGCCCGCAACGCCTGGGCATCCTGGCGAGGGTACATAGTCCTAGTCCCCGAGGCGCCACGCGCCGCCTGGGGTGCCACCCTCTCTCCATTTGCTTTGCTGTGACTGCTTCTCCTTGGACTGTGAGTGACGCCCGCGTGGTGTGAACAGGCTCGGAGTGAAACGGGAGCCCACTGGTTGTGGGTCACGTCCTGCCTTAGAGCCTTTTTGCGAAGGCTCGTGGTCTGTGTAGTCCGGTGCCCGTTTTTAAAGTGCGAGTCTCCACTGTCACTGGATCCTCAAGGGTGTGAGTTTCCGCGGCTTCAGAAAACCCTGACCGTGGCGGGGGTCAGCCTCACCAGACGCTCTGGTTTAACCTGGCCGGTTGTCACTGCATTCCCGGTCACTCCGCTGCAGTAAATTACCAGCTGGGAGGTCACCGAGGCGGCGGCAGTGAGCCCGTTCCACTTTCCTCTCGGTCACCTCCCAAGAGCCGCCCTGTCTCTGCCTGCAGGGCCGCACCTGCGGTCTTCGGGGGTCTTCTCCAAGCGGGACGCCTCTAGAGGCTGCGTGTGGGCAGGTACATGTCAGAGCCGAGGCCGGGGTCTGAGGGCCGCGTCTGTGTCTGAATCCCAGGTGTGCTGTGGTCTGAAGCCATCTTCCTTGAGGCCCGGCCCCAGAGGAAGACCAAGAGCGTCGACGCCCTGAAGAAGTGCGAGCACGACCCCCACGTGCTGCTGGCTGTGGCCAAGTGAGTGGGGGCCCCGGGGGCCACTGTCCTGGGGGCCTGTGGGCTGCCTGGGTCCCTCTGACGGGACTGCTGCTCTGCCGGCCGCTCGGCCGCTGGCACGTGCACCAGCCCTGGGTCTCCAGACAGAGGCGGACGTGCTGACGTTGGCCCACGGGGAGATTAATTTATGAGCACAGCTCCTTGGGCTGAGAAGGTCAGGGAAACGGTTTCCACGGTGCTGGCTGAGAGACCAGACTCCCCCTGAGCGGGGCCTGGGAGCCATCGGGCCGGTTTTCAGGAGGCCTGGGGCACCGAGACGCACGCTGCAGGACACTCCTTTTGGGCCGCGTGGTCTCAAGGGCACGAGAGGGTCAGCCAGTGACCTCACAGCGCGAGCTTGGGTGTTGGCTGCTGGGCCAGGGGCTCCCTGGGGCGGCGTGTGGGGTGGGGTGGTGTCGGAGGGGAGCTCAGGCTTTGGGGAGATTGAGGCTGTGGCTGGCCCCTCCCTGTGGGGGGAGGACTTCCGAGAGGAGCAGCTTTGGGTTGGGGGCGGCTCCAGGCTGCTCTGGGCTCTCACTGGGGGAGGCACTCCGGTGGCCCAGGAGCTCCCTTGGGCGGTGCGGCCTGAGGGCACCCAGCACGTTCTTGGCCCCCCTTCTTCAGGTTCTGCCAGCACCTCCTTTCCATGGCCCCTGACGCCTGCTCAGTCAGTGGGCCCTCCCCCTCTAGCCCTGTGCTTCCACCTCCCCTGACTTGATAGAGCAGCCATAAAACCTCGTAAAAGGCTTTGCTAAAGTAAACAAGTTACTCCACACCATTCCCAGGCTGGTGTACTGTGTGCCTGTTATCTGGGTTTGGGCTCTTTAAGTCACAGTTTATCTAACACTTAGCAATTAAGAAAGCCACACGGCTTAAAAAACGATCAAGCTATCAGAGCGTAAAACGAGCCCAGCCTGTGACAGACCGGCCAGCCAGCTGCCTGTGGTGTGGGGTGCTATCCGCTGCCAGGGGCCTCTGGCCGGAGGGACGTGGGCCAGGTGCCAGGTGAGAGCACATCCTCCCCAAGGATGCAAGGTGGGAGCTGTCCTCACCGCCCTGCGGAGGCTCCCAGGGTCCTCAGTCTGGTCTCGGTTGGTCCTCCTGTGCAGCCTGGTGCTGGGCGTCCCTCTGCTCCTGCCCAGGTGCCCACATGGCCCCGGTGGGGCAGGAGCAGGCCCACGCTCCATTCCCCACCCTAGTCAGGGTCTCAGCAGGGATTCTGCCAGGTCAGTTCCCACCCCCGTGGGTCGTACCCAGGTGGATGGGAGGGTGTGCGGGTTTGGAAGAGTCCAGTCAGACCCTGGAAGAGCATGGCTCCAGGTGTCCGGGCCCTTCCTCAGCCTCCAGTGGGAGCCCCAGGGCTCAAGGGGAGAACCGAGCTGGGGCTCCACAGCCGGTCTCGGGGCCCGCGCTGCACCTCTGTGTGGGGCAGCCGCTCATTCGAGCCCCTGCCTGCCGCCCCGCAGGCTGTTCTGGAGTGAACGGAAGGTCACCAAGGCCAGGGAATGGTTCCACCGCACCGTGAAGATCGACTCGGACCTGGGGGACGCCTGGGCGCTCTTCTACAAGTTTGAGCTGCAGCACGGCACCGAGGTCTGCACCCTGTGGGGGTCCCAGGGCGCATGGGGCCCCGAGGGTTGTCCTCGCACCTCAGTGGCCTGTCTTCCTGGGCTGGAGCCCAGCTCAACTTCCCGGGAAGCCTGGTCCTTGGCAGAGCTGGGCTGACAGGGTGGGGTGGCCAGGCTGTCTCGGGGTCCCCATGAGACGTGCTCCCTGGGCTGTGTGTGAGGCGTGGACTCAGGGGCTTGACTCTGCTGCTCGTGGGCGTCAGGCCTGCCCTGAGGTGGGCAGTGCCGTGGGGGCCGCTCCAGGAGGAGGGATGTGGCCCCTGCCAGGGCCCAGGCTGGGGCTGCACAGCGGGCAGGCGGGACGAAGGGCCTGGGAGGAGCCCTGTCTCAAGACCCCACGGGGCCTCCTCCAGGAGCAGCGGGAGGAGGTGCGGCGGCGCTGCGAGAACGCGGAGCCACGGCACGGGGAGCTGTGGTGCGCCGTGTCCAAGGACATCGCCAACTGGCAGAAGAAGATCGGGGAGGTGCTGGTGCTGGTGGCGGCCCACATCAAGAATGCCTTCTGACCGCGGGCCACCCGAGGGCTGTGGTGAGGGGGGCCCCGGAGGGGCCTGAGTGGTCTGCCCTGCTCTGCTCTGTGATTAAAGGTGGTGTAGGTGCCCTGCAGGGCTGGCTCCCCGCTCTTTTCTCTGGCTCCGCGAGACTCTGTGTCCCTCTGGCCGGGGAGCAGGGCTCTGAGATCTGAGAGGCTTTTGGAGAAGGTGCCCCGGTGACTCATCTTGGACTGCGGGGTGACTTCCCTGAGTCTGAGTGCCGCAGCAGCCCGGGGCGGAGTGAGGCCCCCTCACCTTTGCGGGTGGACTTGGTTTTCCTGCTTCGGAGCCAGTTTTCCCGAAGCGCTCACAACTGCCCTCCTCTGTGACGAAGGGGGACCACCCCCGGGGCAGGCGGCAGGTGTGTGGATGAGGGTCCCCAGGCTGCTCCGGGACCGAGGGCGAGCTGAGCCTCCGGGAGCCCGAGCACCAGGGCCCAGCGAGGGGCAGTGACGGGCAGTGGTCGGCCTTCTGTGCCCCAAGGCGGTGCTGCTGGTCCCGGCACCTCCTCTGGCTCTGATGGCAGCGGAGGCTTCCTGCAAGGCCCGTGGAAAGTTCAGGCCTTTGGGATGATCTGTCCACTGCGAACGTCTGGGGTAGTGTCTGTCCCAGGGACAAGGCCCCACTGGTGTTCGCATCCACTTCAGGGCGAGGGGTCTGGAGGCTGCCCCTGTTCTGTTGGCGGGGTGGGGCCGCGGTTGAGTGCCCGGCCAGCGGGAAGTCCCACGCCCGGGACCTGCCGAGGCAGGAGCCCAGGAAGTCAGCGCGGGGGCTCAGCTGGCCTGGTGGGGGTAGTTAAGTGTCTTCCCTGGCTGTGGCCGGGTTCTGGTGGGAGACAGCACCCCTCCGGGAGGAAGACCCTGGTGGAGGGGGGCAGACAGGCCCCTCTTCCTTGGCTCCCCGCCCCCACCTGGATGTACAGCCCTCTGCCCACGGGCTCCCCACCCCGTCCCGGACGGCGCAGGGCACACGTTCCAGGGCCAGTGGCTCAGTCCCGACCCACTGGATGGAAGGCCCAGCCAGCTGCCTGGGTCCAGGGTCAGGTTAGTTGAAGAAGCGATTGGATAGGGTGGGGAGAGGGAGGGGGCAGGCCGGGATCAGGGGCCTCCCTCCTCGCTCCCGCCTTCGCTGGAGGAGCCAACTTCAAAAGCCTCGTCCGCCCGCTGCCAGCTGCCCGCTGCAGCCCGTCCAGGGAAGCCCTTGCTGGTGTTGGCTGGACCTGGAGCCGGACCTGGTGGGGCTGCTGTACCTGAGGACCCCAGGGCCATGGTGGAAGGCCATCGGCGGGCGTGAGGGAGGGCCTGACCCTGAGGGGCCCATGGTGAGCAGCTCGGGCCCAGGGGCGGGGGGCCGGGGGTGGGAGGCAGCTCGGCCGGGAAGGGCTGCTCGTCCTGCTGTGCCCCACCGGCCGGCGACGGCTGGCGGGAAATCCCCCGGGGTTCAGTCCCTGGGCTGGCCCTGGGTGCTCTGGCCCCGGGTGCCGGGCCTGGCCTTCCCGGCAGTGTTGGGGGCAGGGAGTGTACTGGGTTGCCCTGTGTGTGTGTTGTGGGGGTGGGACAGACGGCCTTCTGAGGGCACCTGGATGTCCCTCTGGTACCAGCTGCCTCGTCCCTGCGTCCTCTGCCCCGCAGCAGTCAGAGGCGCGACCCTGGGTGGGCTATCATGGCCACGTGTCTGGGGGCTGAGGAGAGCCACCATGAGCAACCTCTGCTCTCCCGGCTGCCGGGGCCTCACACCCAAGCTCTGCAGACTCCTGGCCCTGGCTCCGGCTGGGTGCTGCTCCTCAGGCCCCTCCACCAGGGCTGGGAAGCCGAGTCGAGTCCTGGTCTCGCTCGGTTCACATGACTGATTTCCAGCCGCTGTCAGACTCCATCAGGGGCTGTGGGTGGGTTTGGGGGCTGGAACCCGGAGGCCAGCCTTTGTCTCTCCCTGATGTTTGGGCTTTGCGGGGTGAGTGGGCTTCTACCCCTGAGAGCTGGTCCTCTGCATTTGGGCGGGTGGGGGAGGCCTTTACCAGAACGTCTGGGGACCTGGTGTGGCCCCTCCCTCGCCTCTGGGGGTTTCCCCAAACCTTCCCCTTCCAGGAGGGTGTGGCCTTGAGCTCTAAACCCTCACCCCTGTCCTGGTTGGGTTGGGGTGCAGGGAACCCCACTTCCCAGCACAGGAGCTGGTTGTAGTCGAGCTGTAAGTGGGGGCGCTTCTGTCCAAGGCTCCTGGTGTGGGCACCCAGCTCTGGGAGGAGAGGGGTCCACCTGGCGGGGGGACGCCAGCCCTGCCCTCCACCATCACCCCCACACCGGCCCCTCACCCCATCTCGCTGTGCTCTGCGGGAGCCCTGGGGGTGCAGGACCCTTGTGTCTCACACATCGGGCGCCTGTTCTGCCCGACCTGTGCCCCACCCCCTGTGGGCTGTCTGCATTGCACTTCAGCTCAGTCCCCAGGTGGTGGGGAGCAAAGCTGATGGTCTGCGAGGCTGCTGGAGGGGGCCCCTGCCCTGACCTAGTGGCCTTCCAGGTGCCCCCTAAGCCAGCGCTCTGGGCGCTCCTGCTGGCACTGCTGGGACTGGCGTCTGCCCCCGCGCAGTTGCGCACCTGCAGCGTCCCCGACGTGCTGCGCCACTACCAGGCCGTCATCTTCAAGGACCTGCAGGCCGCCCTGCGGCAGGTGGGGCTGGGGTACGAAGGGAGCGGGCCGGGCTCCGGGCATCTCCGCTTCATTCAGAAAAACCAGACCGGAGCTGCCGCGTCTGTGGGACGGCAGGGTCGGTCGGGACCCTTCTGCAGTGCCCAGAAGGTAGGGGTGATGCCCCACCCGCGCCCTGCAGCCTCCACGCTGGGCTTGGCGCCCAACCCCATTCCCCCCTCCCTGCCTCCCCGCAGGAGCACAGCATTATCGCCTCCATCGCCTCCCTGGGCCGGACCCTGCGCGGAGCCGCGGCTGGTGGCCGTCGCCGCGGGGCCCTGGAGAAGGCCGCCTGGACCGTGGCCCTGCGCACTGAGGCGGTGATGCGGCGTCACTGCCGGGCGCTGCGCCAGGTGTGCCTCCCATCCCGAGTGTGTGCAGGGCCGCAGCTGGGCCCTCTGCCCACGGTGTTGGGGTTCACATCGGGCCCACTGGCCAGTCCGCCATGCCCTTCCCCGGGGGCGGGGGCGGGGGCAGGCACGCTCGCTGACCAACCCTTCCCCACAGCGTATCTGGCGGCCCCAAATGCGCCTGGAACAGCGGCGTCGCGGCAGCAGGAGGCGGCTCCTTCTGCGAGCTCTGGACGCCGTCGCCACCTGCTGGGAGAAGCTCTTCGCGCTGCGCGCCTGGGCCCACGCGGGCTCCTAGCTGGTGCTGCGCTGGGCCTGGGAAGGAGCCTCATAGGTTGGTGGCGACTGAGGGCTCCCCCTGCTGACCGCTGGGTCCCGCCTGCCCGGGTCTGGTTCTGGCGCAGGATGGCTCAAGAAACCCGGACTTGAGAGACGTGAGCCCTGCCCAGACCAGGCTCCCCTCCACGCAGGAGGCCTTAATAAACAGCTGGTGCTGCGGCCGAGTCTTGCTTCCTTCACCCGCTGGCTCTAGGGGGCTGCCCGAGGCTCTGCTTCTCAGTTGGTCGTGGGCACTGGGGGCTCCGCCTGTTGGCGAGCCTGGGGGTGTGGCTACACTTTGGTCTCCTCCTGGATGAGGGCAGCGCTGCCAGGCTTGGGCAGCAGGGGGCGCTTGGGACGCTTAACTCCAGTCCAGTCGAGGCTTAGGGCCGGCGTGGAGCAGGACTCCTGCAGGGCCCTGGGACGGTGCTTGTCCATCCTGCTCCACTCTGAGGGGGGGGGGGGGGTGGAAATGGCCGGGGGTGGGGGGAAGGTTGAGCTTTTTGAATTGAGAGCAAAACAGCCGGATAAAGGAAACGGGCTTGAAGGGAAGCCAGAGCCGCTGGCTCTAGCTGCAAAGCAGGCCAGGCCATTTCCTGTGGCCCTGGTCCCGTCCATGGGACTGATGGGCTGGCCCTGGACCCTACGTTTGCTTGGCAGAGTGGGGTAACGACCCCTGAGCTCCCCCACTCGTGGCTGCACAGGCCTGGGTTGGGGCCCCTCTGAGTCCAGCCTGCAGCCGTGTGGGAAAGTGGGAAAGGTAGAGCACCGGCTGAGCCTGGTGGACACAGCACCTAGAGTCACACTCCTTCCAGACAGGTGACACACCCAGAAGTCCCTAAGGCAGGCCTGGTCCCGGGCCCGGCAGAGCAGAGGTGGGGTTCCCGCTGCTGCGGTCGGCCTGACAAAACCAGGCCCCAGGAGTGGATGCCAGCCAGCTCCTATCGTCCACGCGGTAGCCCATGTGGTCTCTGCAGCAGCAGCTGTGCCCTTGCTTTCTGGACGAGGGAACTGAGCCCCCAGGAGGTCACAGGTCTTGCCCCGGGTCACGTGTCAGGGATTGTTAGAGCTGGGGCAGGACCCTGGCGGCAAGCGTGGCTCTCCCTGTGGCCGTGGGCAGCATGGGGGCCACACTCCGACTGCAAAGGTGATGCCGGCACGTGGGCTGGGGAGGGGCTCCAGCTGGGGCAGGAGCGTGCGCGTGGGAGTGGGAGCCATGTGGCCCAAGGGTCTGCGCTGCGGTGGAGGGCTGCCAGAATTGCCCAGCGCTGGGTGTGGGCAGCTGTGGGGGGCCGTGTGGTGAGGCTCAAGGAGAGCCCGGGATGCAAAGTGGCAGAGGGAGGCCCAGGCAGCCCCAGCACCCCGGCCTAAACCCCTGGGTATGTGCTCTTGAACTAGGGGAACCGTGGCAGAGGAGAGCCGATCTGTGACGGATGGAGCAGGTGGCCTTGGGGTGGGGCTCAGTGACCGAGCAGGGGACACACCCACTTTGCTTGGAGCCCCAGGGTTGGGGCAGCAGAGCTGGGGCCTGCAGGTCAGTGAGAGAGTCTAGGGGTCAGTGTGGGGCCAGGAGGAGGGCAGGCCCTTGGCAGAGGCCCCCACCCTGCCTGCTTTCTCCAGCAGCTGTCCCAGCCCCAGGGCCCATGGGGGAGCAAGGCCTGGGGTGGTCCTGGTGCTGCCCACCCAGGGTGCTTCCTTCCTGCTGCCCAGAGCTGTTAGGGTGGGTGGGCGGGGGAGGTGAGTCAGCCACAGGCCATCCCTGCCTGCTCCCCACCCCCAACTTTGCTCCTAAGTAGTTCTTAGTGCAATGCCTTCACCCTCTTCCCGTCCTGCCCTTTCTCGGCACCCCCCCCCCCACATGCCAACCCCCAACAATGGGCTGGCCTTGTGAGTACAGGGGCCCCAGACCCCAGCCCCCACCTCTGACGCCATCTGTGTTTGTTCCTAGGGCTGCTGTCAAAAATGACCACAAAGTAGGGAGCTGGATATGGTAGAGGGTTTATTTTCCCGTGATTCACCTGGCCTGAAACTCGGGTGTCTGAGGGCCCTGCTCATCCTCGGCCGGAGAGCCGCTTCCTGCGGCTCTGGGTGGCCCGGTCCTGCGCCGTGGCTGCGGCTCGTCAGTCTGTCTCCTCGCCACCGCACGGGTCCTTCCCACTGACTCACTGCCCCCTGAGCAGTCCAGGGTCTCCTCACCTCACGATCCTCTGCTGTGGGTCCTTGTCCCAAATAGGGTCCCACTTGGGCTCTGGGAGTGGCCTTTATCTTTTGGGGGGCAGAGTGGGCTTTGGCTTCTGGGACAACATTCACTTGTGAAGGGGCATTTCCCATCCAGATCAGGCCCCGGGGCAGGTGCAGAGCCGCACCCCCTGCGGAGGCAGACCGCAGGGGCAGGGGGTTCCCTCTCAGACCCCGAGGTGCTTCTGCTTCTGCACCGGCCCCTCTGAGGCTGGGTCATGGTGGCTCACGAGCGCTCAGAAAACCTGCACGGGCTGGAGCTGACCAGAGCTGGTGGAGATCGGAGACGCAGCCACAGGAAGGCCCTCAGGCAGCAGAGCCCCCGAGGGCAGAGCACCTGTGGCCTGACTTGGTGAACTCGAGCATCAGCCAGGCTGCTGGGCACCACCCCCGCTGCGGAGGCCCTGGGCGTGGGGCCGGAGCCTGGCGCTTGACATGTGAAGGGCTCCTCAGGCTCCCATGTGGTGGGGCTGGGCTGCACCAGCGTGGGGCATCCTGCCCCTCATGCCTGCCCTCCCAGCTGCTTTCAGGGAGGTGGGGCCGGAACCCAGGGGAGGGGGGTGGTGCCGGGTGGCAGATGGGACTGCAGGGCACTAGCTGGGTTGTGCAACCTCCCCAAGCAGGGAGCTAGACCCCACCATGTGCAGCGTGGAAAGGAGGGGCCCAGGCTGACTTTGAAGGGTTGCTGGTCCCACAGCCTCCCCAGACTGGGGGCCTTTGAAAGAACATCTGGAACATGGGCCTGGATCCGAAAAACCAAAAACTTAATCCCGACTTTCCCACTGTGTGTTCCCCACGCCTGTCGTTGCCCCTTCCCAGGCTGCCAACCAGGGGTGAGGCACACACCCTGCCTGGGGGCCGAGGCGGGGCTCCAGCAGCACCATCTTCCTCAGCCCGAACCCCAGTAGCCACCAACCAGCAGGCAAGGGGAGGAGGAGGGGGGAGAGGTGGGGGGTGGCCAGCCCGGCCCTTGGAGATGCAGCTCCGGGTCTGAGGGTCTGGGGGGCAGGACGTGAGTCAGGCAGCCCCACGCCTGGCGCTGCCTGCGGAGAAGGCTGGGCAGTGCCCGGGCTGGGGCCCTGCAGGAAACACCTGCACCTGGACCCGAAGGGGGCTCTGGCCCTGCCGCACGGCCCCATCCTTGCAGGTGTTCCAGCAGGCCGACTGCTGCAGCTGCGGCTGCCGGGAAACAAGGCCCCCCCCTCCAGGAAGCAAAGCAAACATGGTGGGGGGGCAGCACCAGGTGCTGGGCCCATTGTCCCTGCCAGTGGCCTGCAGGACCCTGGGGAGTGCCCAGGCCCCGTCCCTGTCCAGGCCCCTCCCCAGGAAAAGACCCGGCTTAGTAAACAAACCACCATCCTACCTGCCCCAGTGAACGCCGCCCCCCACCCAGGAACCCGCCAGGAGCCGGCACCTGCCGAGGGGAGCAGTCCTTGTTTGGGGGCCGGTGGGTCAGCCAGGGCAGGTGGGCACAGGGCAGCGTGTGCCGGCATTGGATGCTGGCCCGGGCCACCCTGTCTCGTCGGGACCCCTGTCCGCAGGGCACCCTGCCAGGTGGTCTGGCCCTGTCCGGCCGCCCCACGCGTCCCTGCCCGGCCTGCACAGGGCACGAGGCCAGGGGGCCGGCTGCAGCCCCAGATAAGCCCCGCACCCGCGCCGCTTCCTGCGCTTCCTCCCAGGGCCACCGCCGCCAAGAGCCCCTTCCTGTTTCCTTGAGCGGTGGGCAGGAGGGGGACCGGTGTCGGGGGTGGCGGGGAGGGATTGTGGGGGCAGCAGGGTCGTGGGCAACAGGGCGGAGGTGTGGGAGCCCCCTCAGTGTGTTCCCGGGTGGCTGGGGGATTGTGGGAGATAGAGGGGTAGGCAGAAGTGGAGGGGCTGTGGGCTGAAACCAAAGAGGGGGCGCCCCAGGGCTGGGCCAGGAGCCCCCACACGTGCTCACACCCCTCCGTGGACTGATTGGCACCTGCTGCTTGCAGCCCCGCCCAACCTGAGGCAGGAGTTGGGGTGGGGTGGCTGGAGGGTGAGCCTTGGTTGGGAGGTGTTGGGATTAGAGGTCAGAGGTTCTGGACCCCCGTTTTGGGGCAGCTGCTTTAGCATGTGGACTTTGGGCGCTTCATCTGCTGGCTCAGACCGGGTTGTCGGAGCACAGATCTGGGATGGGAACACAAGCACCTCTCTTACTCGGCCTGAAAAAGGCCTCCCTGAGGGGTTTACCACGCGGAGCCTGCACAACAGGGCACTCACTCGGTGAGCAAAGCAAGACTGGAGGACCCGCTCACAGGCCGGGTCCAGAGTGGGCCAGAGCACAGAGGCAGCCCGGAGGCCCTGTGTCTCGGGCTGGGGGTGGGGCGGCCGTAGGAACACCCCGAGGCTGTGTCGCACGGCGGTGGGGCTGGTGCAGCCCTGGTGTGGCGCGCTTACAGTGGTGGCAGGCTCTGTTGCCCTCCAGCCAAGCGGCTGCCTGGTCCAGAGCTGGGCCAGTGGAATGGCCGGCCCAGCTCCGCCTCTGCGGCTGGGTGTGTCCCTTGTTGTGGTGCCCCAGGTCTCTGAGCGGACGGTCCGGTCCACTGGGGAGAGGGCAGGACTCCCAGCTCCCTGTCCTCCCCCAGCTGCTTGCTGGGAAGGGTCCCACTCTGCCGCCCAGGTCACTGCGGGGCCAGGCTGGTCCCAGGCCTGGAGGCAGTGGCTCCTGCCAGGCAGGGCCGCGAGGACTTCCCGAGGGGCCGCTGGGTCTGTTCCTGGCTGGCCTGACTCAGCGGGAGCTGGGGGGTGGGGACTTCCCTTCTCAGACCCTGAGGGAAGCAGGTGGGTGGAGCCAGGAGGGCAGGGTGGAAGTCAGGCCTGCAGCGGGGACCACCCAGACCCTGGGCCTGTTGTCCTGCCGAGGAGGCGGCTCTGTCCAGCGTGGTCAAGCCAGGCCCCTTGGGGAGCT